GCCAAAACCCAACAGAAAAAAAAAAAAAAAAAAAAAAAAGGAGGGGGATTTAATATGGAATTTATAATTTCAAGGTTCCAAATGTTTCACTTAATTAACACCAGCATAGTCTGAAACAGCCCATTTCACCTGATGAAATAGTGATTTCCACTATGTGCATTGAGAAGCTAAGTCAAGTTGCTAAGGAAATGGCATTGCATGACATTTTGAGATTATGATAATGGTTTACCACCGAGTTAGGAAACCTTTGAAGACTGTCCAATTTATATTTGCTCATTTTTAATTTGATGCGATGGGAAAAAGAATTATTTTCATGTAATTAAGTTTTTTTATTGTCAAAGATGGCTGAAAGGCAAAAAGACTACTAGACTAAGAAAAAAAGTAAAAAGTGTCAATAGGTTAAAGAAAAATTTAAAATAGAAGAGAACCATGACAATACAAACAAATTTACTTTATTTATCTTTTTATTTTTTGCACTAGGGTGTATGTGCTCAACAGAGAAAGAGAGAGACAGAAAAAGAGAACTCATCCCCCAGGGGGATGGCTACTCTGCAATCCCTGCTCCTCCATTCTCCTCCCAGGATCTTGGGCACACACGCACATGTGCCAGGAGAGGGTTTCAAGTCACCAGGCCTGGACTTGTACCTTGGTCCGGCATATGGAAGTCCAGCAATGTAACTGTTAAACCATTTGCTGTCCCAGTTTTATTTTATTTTTAAATAAAAATTAATATATAACTAATTTGCTTCCATTTGATCTAATGTAATTTAGCATATGATGGCATGAGTTGTAGAACTCAAACTAAAAAGCTGTTATTACTCACTCTGATGTCCACTTTAGAAAACAAAAGTATACATACACACACAGAAAACTATCAGTAGAAACATCATCAGATAACAAAGTGTAAAAAATGTAGTACACATAGTCCTAAAACTATTTTTTGAATAACTGAAGAGGGCTTAAGTATAACAAATATATGCACTCATGTGATACTCAAAGGTAAGTCACCACTATCAGACCCAAGGTCTGAATTCTAGTGCTATTCCTCGCACGAAATTGCTTTCTCTTCAAATCTAAAAACCCAAGGTTTTTTTTAAATACCTGTTTTCCTTGATTTCTCTTCTTACCCTACCTTCCAACTCCCATCAATCAACATTAACTAAAATTCTGTGGCATGTCCTGAGCCTCTTCTCAAATACAATTGAAATAATCTACCCTTTAATGTATTTTCTCCATTCTAAAACGTCTTTTGACCTACATGAGGACGATTCAGAGGAGCCTACTGTAACAACACTGCTCTAAACAAGAAGGAATGACAGCACTCCTTTTCACCTTCCCCTAGAGGGCCTTAGATGTTCCTAAGAGGTGGTGAATGGAGCAATTAACAAAAAAAACTTCCTTCCACAAATACAGTCTTATTTTCTTAAATGCTTCTCCTTCCTTGAACTCCTATAACCACTCTGTCCTTATACTCCAAAACCATGAATGTCGGCTTCTTTCCTATATCCTACTTCTCAGCCCTATATCTGATTTCTCATTCCCACAAAAGAAATAGGTTTCACAAGACTGAAATTCTAGAACTGTTTCTGGAGTTGGTAGTGGAGAAAGAAACTAGGAATGAATTACAGATTGCTTCTGTTTTTCACTAATGGATAATGCAAGTGAGTATTCAATTGAGGTGTGCTGGCAAGGTGGGTTTCTCTGGCAAAGTTTTTGGAAAAGCAAAACCTCAATATAGCGGAGGTGAAGGATAAAGGAGGGTTTTTTAAAATATATATATACTTTATTTAACTTTATTGATTGGTTTCAATTTGACCAGAGAGGGAAAGACTGAGAGAGAGAAAGAGAAAGCAAGCCACTAGATCTGGGAGTTGGACCGTGATCAGCCATGTAGGAGTCCAGTGCCCTTAACCACCATGCCACATGCTGGGCCCAAAAGGAGGGACTTTTTTTAAATGCTATGATTACTTCTAACTTCACTTACAATTTTCCACAATAAACTTCTTTTCATTAGCTACTAGCACAGACTTGGAATTACTTCCATTAATCTTTTCGTTTTTCAGTGGTTTTTTTTTTTTTTTTTAAGTTTTGCTATTGGGCACGTGCGCTCACATGAGAGAGAGAGAGAGAGAGAGAGAAGCACATTGAGAAACAGGTCCAGGACTTGAACCATGGTCAGTCATGTGAGAGCCCAGCATCTCAACCACTATGTCACCTGCTGGCTCCACCTGCTTTAATTTTTTGAGCCTCAATTTCTTTTTTCTTTTTAAAAAGAATTATTTAATTTTTATTTATTCATTTTCATTTGACCAGAGAAAGACACACACACACACACAGAACAAAAGTGAGAGAACAAGCCACCAGGTCCAGGACTGGAACTGATTTTGGACATGTGAGAGTGTCCAGCACCTTAACCACCACACCACACCACCTGTGGACTAGAGTCTCAATTTCTACATCTGAAAAATACTGATACCAGTAGTAGCTTCACCTCGCAGTTACTGTGAGGATTCAATAAGATTGTAACACATGCAAAGTTAATTGCAGTGTTTAGCACATAATATGACTAATAAAATGTAAAACTAAAAGAAACCTGAATGGGGGCCACCAGGTAGTGGCAGTTAAAAGCCCTGAATTTCCACATGGTTGACTCTGGTTCATGTCCCAGACCTGGTGGCTTGCTGTCTCACTTTCTCTCTCTCTCTCTCTCTCTCCCTCTCTTTCTCTCTCACTCTACCCTCCTCTCTAGTCAAATGAAAATAAATGGATAAATAAAGTTAAAATAAATCTTTCAAAAAAGATATACAAGAAAAAGAAATCTGAAGGAGGTAGAATCCTTGCTTTCTATTCAGAAACATAAACCTTTGTTTTAGGTTTTACTGTAAAATGACATTTCTAAGTTTATCCAATTTATTAACGCTTCAACTTAGGAACCTAGGGTTACCCTGAGAATACTGATTTTAAAAAAATCAAAGCAATTAGGAGCAAAAGTTTTATGCTAAAATACAACTTTACTGAAAGACATTCAGGAGTCACTCTACTAATAAAGTAAATGTCATCAAAATTTTAAAAATGCAAATTCAACTGTACTCATATGCATACTCTTAAAGTCACGATTTGTTCTTTTTTCTTACACTACTGATCTCTTTCATTAAAACCTTAGAACAAGGCACAGCTTCGTTGGAATCAAAACCTCTCAGAACCTGGCTCAGAAGAAGCCACACAGTTTACCATGCTAGAAAGGATCCGTGTGGTCACTCTAGGACAACTGTCACTGTCACCAGCACCGCTGGGTGTCTCATAGGGACTTGGGTTATGCAGAGTGTGGGGGAAGGCGGGTGTTGGAAACAAAGTCGAATACCCTAAATGGGGAGAGGCTTAACTGAGAACCGTTTTAAAAGACTAAGGTCTGACCTGCGGGGAAGCAGTCCCCCGCGGCTGATCAATTGCGGGGTAGCTTCGCTCCCGCCCGCAGAAAAGGGACGCAGGTGTGGCCCTCCCTCGGCGACCCCACCGCTTTCTTCCCGAGGCCGCCGCCCCTTCCCCTTCCCCTAGCCCCCCGTTACCTTTCTCGTCCTCATCGATGCGCAGGGCCACGGAGATGTACTCGAAGGCCTGCTTGTGGAAGGCTCGGACGCGCTCGGCCTCGCCGCCCGGCACTG